CAAGTTTGAAGAGGAAAACGTGCGGCTTCGTGACGAGCTCCGGACGACGCGCTTGCAACTCGCTGACATCGAGCAGTACACCCGTGTCAACAACCTCGAGATCACCGGCATTCCTGTAACTGCGGAAGAAGACATTTACACCTGTCTAGAGATGCTAGCCAATGTCATCGGCGTTACATACAGGAGGGCGTTCATCTCCATTGCTCATCGGCTTCGTTTGTTCTCGGATAAACTCGACCACCCTCCCATCATCGTACAATTCACCTCGAGAACAGCGAAGGACGCCTGGCTGTCAGCGGCGAGGCGCAAGAAGACCATCGAGACCAGGGAGATCGCCGCAAACCTTCGTCCAGGGAAGGTGTACGTCAACGAGCATCTGACACCTCTCAACAAAACCATCCTGGGACGGGCCAGACGTCTGAAAAAGGCAGGGAAGCTGCACTACGCGGGATTCGTCAATGGCAAGATCCTCGTCAAGCTGTCCGAGGAAGCAGCCGCCATCCGGATCCAGCAGAAGGCAGACTTGGATAAATACGATGATGTTAACAGTAATTAGGTAAAACTACCATTTTTTTTCATAATTTATTTTAGGCATGCATAAAATATACTACAAATCTACTACAAAATAAAAATTTATAATATTTTAATTTTATGATAAACTTATATGTTGTATTCAGTTATGTTTCTTTCATGGTTAAAGCTAAAGTAGTTTCATTTTTATCAAAATATTTATTGATCTCAGTTCAGTTAGCTTTGCTCTTTGAATTTAAATTTAGAATCACTATTTTAATGTTTCATTTAATCAAGGTCGTTGTTAATGTTATGTTTATGTCTTTTACATTTTTTTTTTTTAAAGCATGATTATTGCAACATAAATATGTTTCATTATTCATTAACTTTTATTTATTATTTGCAAGTGTTGACTAATTTTTTTTTACCAGCCTTTATCACTACTATTGAGAGAAAAACTAATTATCTAGTACTCTAAAAGATCATGTGTTGAACAATTGCATGGAGTTTAATAAGTGAAATATTTCATTAAATTATTTGTTACCTCAGTTCAATCTTTGTAATAGCATGTTTCTTTGCATGTAAAATTAGTAGAATTATTTATTCAGTATTTAATTGAGATGCAAGGGATGAAAGAAAAGTCCATTAGTTATTTTATAATATTTATTACACCAAAATACCATTAATTTAATTTAAGCTATTCAATAACAATTTTATTTATTTAGTTCCAAAAGAAATTTATGTATTTCAGTGTTCTGAGGTAAAGCAATCCTAATAGTAAACTTTTCGTGTATTAACTCATATTATATCTAATTCAAGTAATTTTCGATGATTAGATTTGTATGGTTTGATTAATAATTGCATAATTTCATTTTATGTATGTAAATATTAATTTATTATTTAAGTTATCAGGATAGGCACGGGCAGGGGGGCCTATGCGGGACGATGATTGGCAACATAGATGAAAATACACCTTTTGAATACGATTCTTGCTTGGAGCTGGATAATGTTTTTGAAAGCGAAATTTTTTTTAATGAACCCCCAATAAATAGTAGTCTTAAAATATTTCACACGAACATCAGAAGTTTCTCAAAAAATTTTGACAATTTATCAGTGTATTTACAGTCTTTGAATGCTAATCTAGATATCATCGTCTTATCAGAGTGTTGGTTGAGCGGGGGGGAGGTGGGTCACATGGACGGGTTTGACTGTACAATGACGGATACACAAAACAACAAAAATGACGGAGTCATTGTTTTCATCAACAAACAACTGTCTGCTACCGTAACACAAGTAAACATCAACAGAGTTTTTGGTATTTCTTTGGAATTCAGTCTTTTTAATAAAACATTCAATCTGTTAGCTGTTTATAGGACTTTTGATTGTGAAATTGATCATTTTATATCTGGTTTGGAATGCTATTATAATCGCATAAGTAAAGATACTAACTGTATCTTTTTGGGTGATATTAACATCGACTTACACAAAACTGATGCAATAACGGATCTTTACTTAAACACTTTACTAGGCGCTGGACTAGTCCAGTGCATCGACAAGCCGACCAGAGTGACACACAACACATCTACTTGTATTGACCACATTTTTGTCCGTTTCCAAGATATGAGACGAGTCAAATCTGCTGTCATACAATCTCACATCACTGACCATTACAGCACTGCTCTTACAATCACTAACACCATTCATACACCTACAGGAACTGACACTCAGTCACAGAACCAATTTCGCACCTACATTGATCACGCTACATTAACTGAACATATTACAAAAACAGACTGGAGTCCAATCATGAGCAATCACGAGGTTAATCAGTGCACAGCATGTTTTTGTTCGACACTGAGTAACTGCATCAAAGCCTCAACTAAAACAATCAAACATCACTCTACAAGATTTAAAAAAATAAAGCCTTGGATTACCGTAGATCTCATAAAATTAATTCGAAAACGAGACAAGCTAAGTAAAAAGATCAAAACCCAACCGTTTAATTTATTACTACTAGATAGATTCAGGGCCCTGCGCCTATCTTTAAATCAAAACATAAAAATTGCAAAGAAAAATTATTATAGGGGTAAAATTTCAGAATCTAACAGGGATCCAAAATTATTTTGGGGCATAGTTAGTGAAATATCAGGCAGGAATTGCACTAAGGACCAATTCCCATTTGAAAAAGTTTTACCTGGTTCTTCGAATAATGCGAACATTAAGATTAAAATAGCAAACGATTTCAATAACTTTTTTACATCAGTAGGTTCTAAATTGGCCAACTCAATAAATTCAGCTGGGTCTCCAGTCGTAAACGACGCTGACTTCTCACTTGACACGAATTTTACATTCAACACGGTCACACACGCTGACATAGAACGTTACGTCCAGGGTCTGCGCGGAGGGTCTGCGCCGGGCCATGATGGTATCTCGGCCTTTGTTCTTAAAGAAAACATCCACTCTCTATGTGCTCCTCTTCTGCACATTGTCAATATTAGCCTGACATCTGGTATATTCCCAAACGAGCTGAAATTGGCCAAGATCATTCCATTGCACAAATCTAATGATTTCACAGACATGAATAACTATCGTCCGATTTCTTTGTTAAGTGTAATTGCTAAGCTTTTAGAGAAAATTGCCAAAGACCAACTTGTTTTTTACCTCCACCAGTGCAATATTTTAAGTGAAAATCAGTATGGTTTCAGAAGTGACAAAAACATATCTGATGCTTTATTTGATATTAATAAATACATTAACGAGGCAATTTATGGCAACAAACGAAGCATGTTAATTTTCTTAGACTTGAAAAAAGCTTTTGACTCAGTGGACAGAAGTAGATTGTTGCGTAAACTTGAGCTTGTCGGGGTGCGCGGCACCTCGCTCGCTTGGTTCAGCAGCTACCTCTCTGATAGGCTACAAACTGTCGCACTTGGTGAAGTGGCAAGCGATGTATTGCCAGTGGAGTATGGTGTAGTCCAGGGTTCGACCCTTGGTCCTGTTTTATTCCTCATTTATATTAATAATATTTCTAAAATTCAAACAGAAGGAAAATTAACATTATTTGCTGATGATACTCTAATATTTGTAACCGGAGCATCCTGGGAGGAGGTTAAAAACAAGGCAGAATCAGACCTCTGTTTACTAAAAAAATGGCTTGATCAAAATGTATTGTCCCTTAATATATCTAAAACAAAATTTATGCCAATTTCATTACGCAAGATAACCGAATACAAACTTGATAACCTAACTATTCATGTCTGTGGAAATCATTTCAATAACTCTTGTTTTTGTAGCAAAATTGAAAAAGTTGATTCATACAAATATCTTGGTATTGTTTTTGATTCAAAGATGAAATGGTCGGAACATGTTGAATACCTAAAAAATAAATTACGTAAATATATTTATGCATTTAGGCAACTTAGTGATATTCTCGAAGAGCAAGAAATTAAAATAGCATACTATGCATATGTTCAATCATTGTTGTCTTTTGGAATTATTGCTTTTGGTGGTGCTTACAAAACTATCTTGCAACCTGTTTTTGTAGTGCAGAAAACAATACTTAAAGTTGCTTTTAAAAAACACTTTAGATATTCAACTGACGATCTTTTTGTAGAATCGGGAGTTTTGACAGTCAGGCAGTTATTTTTAAAATTTATTTTAGTTCACATGTACAAAAACTTTGATAATATTTTTGTAAAAATTACTCATCCCCACAATACGCGCTTTTCTCGAAATGTTGGTGTAAGTGTTCCACAAACTTTCAAATCATTTTCAAATACGAATTGCTTTCACTTAACCCAAATCATTTATCGTAACATGTGTAACAGATATCAAAATGTCAACATTCTAAATTCACCCTCTCTCTCTCTATTTAAGAAGCATGTTGTGGGGTGGCTTGTTGGTCTGAGTACAGAGGACACCGAGGCCGTTATCGCGTTGGGCGGACCTGACCGTTGACCCTACACAATCACTGATACACCACTTTCACTGACTGACTAATACACTACACCCCACCTCTCCTCTTCAATCTTCACCAGATATTATAAATTACCTCTGTTTGCACAAAGAGTTTTTTTTTTTTTTTTTTACCGTCAATTTATCCCAGAACACTAAAAATTCAGCTTCAAGCAAGACAAAAAAAAAGGTTTAAATTATACGATTTTTTTTTCTCCTATATATTTTTTACTTCCCATTTAAATTAATCTTTTCGCAACTCAGTCTACGCACAGGCCCTGCCTATGTAGACTTTTTCCTTTCTTATAGAATGTATTTTTTTTTTACACTTTTATTTACTTATTTCTACAGTATATAATTTTTGTTTTGTTAGCTAGTTAGTAATATTTTGCTGTTTCATATTTAAGAAAAGAAAAAAAATACAATGTACTTGTCTGTAAATAATTAATGGGAAATAAAATATTATTTCATTTCAATATTATTTCATTTCATTTTTCATTTCATTTCATTATTTCATTTCATTTCATTTCATTTCATCATAACTCCTCAATCCCAGACATATCGCTGAATTCATCGGAGTCGCTCGTTCCCTCGTCGTCGCTGGTGCTGTCGTCTACATTAATGATAAAACTTTCCGTTATTTCATCGATGGCTGGCTCTTTGGCGGCGTATTCATTTTCCACATTTTTAACGTGCCTACACTTACATTCCCAATCCTGTTGCGATATCGAAGAAAACTTTTCTTCACAAAGCTTTTTCACATCGCACAATTTGAAGGTCGTGTTGTGTGATGCAACATAGTTTTTTACATCTGCCCATATCATCTCGATTGGGTTCAAATCAGGATGATACGGGGGCAGACCCAGTACACTGTGGCCTTCCCTTTCCAAGATGTCATCCAGGACATATTTGACATATCGATGTTTGTGTTGAAGAATGAGTTTGTAAAGTTGAGGTTTTAGCATTGTTGGATCGTAGGAAATGTTGTGCTCGGAAAGCCACTTTGTCATTTCTTCTTTTTTACTATTGGAAGTCGGGGCCTTATCAATTTGCTTGTTGTGGTACTTCGCATTGTCAATAACCAATACAGAGTTAGGATTTAAGTTTGGTATCAGTTGATTTATGACCCATTGCATGTAATTTTTGTTGTTCATGTTGTCGTGGTAGTCGCCGGATTTTTGGCCTGCCTTCCACATGGCCAAAGCGTTTGGGACGAACCCCTGTTCCCCTCCAGCGTGAACTATTATCAGTCTTTCTCCTTTGGACACGGGCGTATGCAAAACATTATTTGATCCATCCGACCACATTTTCCCAGATACGTGATCTGAACATACGTAACTTTCATCCATGTACACGATGGGTCTCCCTTCCGACCTGAATCGCTTGAGTGACTGGAGATAAGTTATTCTCTTTTCCCTAATCTCAGATTTTTCAATTAGAATCCTCCGATTATTCTGTGTCCTTTTCCAGGAAAATCCTAATTTTTTCAAAATCCTCCGAACACTTGATTGACTTCCCTGAAAGTTCAACTTTTCTTTAAGAGAATTCTGCAACAGTTTTGACGTCGGCAGTCTTTTTTCTGTTATGTAAAATTCATAGACAGTCCTACGAACCACACATTCATCGAAATGGTCTAGGCCAGTAATCGGCTTTTTCTTCCTTTTTGTTTTGTGAGGTGTTAAAAAAGATTTATTATCATCCTCACTCACCTTTAAAGCGTTTAGTTCGCTGTTTATCCGGGTAACAGAGCGTTGAGATACACCGGTTGCTGCTGCGGTCCGCTCCCTCGCCTTCTGTAGTGGTATTGTAATGCCGCTCTTGCACTCCTCTTTCATAAATGTATAAACATTTGCCACGATTTCCCTACTCTGACTATTTAAAACCTTACCACCAATCCCTACTTTCGATTTAAATTCTGCCATGACAAAAAAACTCACACACGTTTCGTTATGAAAACAGTCCACTTCACGATCCACTGTGACACTGCACAAGCAAAACTCACTACTGAGTAGACACAGTGCTTAGGAACGTGCAAGATTTGTCATAACAGCGCCCTCTCTATTAGTCATAGTTTGTTTAGGACGTCAACCCCGTGAGTCAGCCGAGATGTTCGCAGAGTTGCCCGGTCGGAACGCGGGACCTCACGTCTGACAGTCCGATGTTCTCAGAACGGTCTTAAGCTAGTTTCCACCCTCCCCCCGCCTATGGTGCCGCGCCAGGCCCACAGGCCACCATGAGCCAGCTTAGCTGACGCTAGCTGTATCTCAGTAATAAAAGGTGGTCATATTTTCTATGAGAATTTTTTTTCTATTTAATTGGATCCAAAATACCGATGCATAAAAAATAGTTTTTACATAATTAGGCAACGTAGCTTCATCCTACAACGATACTTAAATATCCAATTTTTAAATAGTGACCATACAAATGTAGATATTTTAAACCTAGTATGAATGGAGATGAGTGTGTCGCTTAATATTGTGGCTGGCAAAAATTTTATTTGGTGAAAAAGCACCCATCTCACCAATTCGAAATTTTAAATACCTGCCATTTTGGCTAGAGGTGGCATATCGACTTCAAGTTTGCACCATTGCTTGTGTCTTGACAGACCCTTCAAAATGAGGGGTCAGTCAATATGGGTTATTATTTGAAAAAAATAAGTCCCCCATCCCCTATTCTTTCTGTTAAGGTGGTTAAAAAATACTTTTGATGTAAAAAATTGCGGATCCTTTGTTAACAATCTATGCCACAAATAGAATATTTTCAATAATTCCTGTTTAAAAAAATACAGATTTGTTTCAATACTTAATTTACACACTTGTAGCATGTACATACATGCTTATATACATAATTGTGATTAGAACTCCACGAACATAGTTTTGTTATAATTTCTTCAATTAAAATTATGAATGTGTGTATTTGTGTGCTTTCCTTGGTTGTGGGGGGGGGAATTGTAACATTACTTATCAGGAACTGTTTTGTTCAATGTTTGTAAACGTAGTTTCTCTTATTGTTCTACAAGAGGAGGACCATTGCTTTGTGTAAAGATGTTCTAATGATGTGTTGCAGTATACTGTGGGTTACCCAGCTAGATACCACTTTAAGTGAACTATTGCATGTTTCCTCTGTATCTCACTTCTCTGTGGCACACTAAAGCAACTAAAGCACTACTAACACAAAAGCAAAGGTATAGCGGTCCGTGAAAAACCCAATGATTTTTTTTTGTAAAAATGGCGTTTACCGTTGAGAATGAATGAATAAATACCAACTCTCATCAGAGACCATTATTTCTAAGACTGTGCTCAAAAATAACGCCAGTGTTGCTCCCACGAAGTGGGGCTTATTTAGGCGTTTGAAGGCACTTTATATAACATATAAAAGTTTACTAGCTAGACAACAAGCTGTATGAACGTCAAATAGATTTTAAGAAATATTTTACTCCTCCACTTTTTTCCAACGATTACATGTCATCGATATATCTTTTATCAGAAAAGTGTACCATATATTTTTACTTAAAGATAGATCCTACACTCATCTCCACTTGGATGTACACACTCCTACTTGGCTTAAAATACCTACTTTTTATGCTCGTCATTTCATTGATAAGTATTAAGATATATTGCATTTATTTATTTAGTGGATTTTATTGAATGTTAAGTCATTAATTTTTTGGTGCCCGTAAATTACACAAGAGTGTTTTTTTCTTTAAGTGTGTATGCATTCTTTAATCACAAAAACATTAAATACCACCGACCAATTCTTAGTCCCCTGGTACTAAGCTATTAAAGGATTTTTATTTAGAAGAAAAACTATTTTGGTTACATTTTTAAATGTATTGTTCAAAATACTTCCTCCGCTCAAGAGTGCAAGCAGAAAACTGCAGTGTACACCAAGCAGTTATATTCATGCAAATATATGTTTCACAAAAAAAACTTTGATTATCATTTCCTACTTGGATAAGCTATTGTTTTATGGCAATAAAATATGTTTGTATCTCGCATGGAAATTAGCATTTAGTTCTGCATAAATACTACAGCTGTACTCGCCCCAGACGTGGCGCTACTCGCCACAATCATATACACTTGGACTTGGACTTGGCTAGTAGAATAACAAGTAAAGAATATTAATTACTTATTGTCTTCAGTGGTGACACTTATGAAAATATGTTGGAAACAAAAATTTAGAAACATCTTATTATCACTATACTTTTCCCACTGGAAGTTTTTCTCTGATCGAAAAAAAAAAAAAATCCTCGTTTCCTTACTTTTTCCAGTTTACATAAAGCAAACTTTTTATATTTTCCGTTATTAATAATTACACATTGGCACAAATTAAATTATATTTATATTTTATCAAACAGTTGATTGATCATATCAATATGTATATTTCATCCTGTAAAAATATTTTTATTACAAGCTAGACGAACGTGTAAGCGAAAGAGGATGCACCATTTTGAATAGTCTCGCGAACATCTTAATACCTTAATACCTGCTGCGACGTCGTTGACCGGAATTTCTGGATAGACTATGTCAAGGATAAACTAAAAATAATATTTTCACTGTTTAAAATACTTTAGGCAAGATGGTGTTGAGCCTATACTCGGTGGAACGCATCACAATATTCGTCAACTGAGTACAGTGGTCGGTCGACTAGCCAGGCTTTAACTTTCTAGTTAAAAGTGGACGGTTCACAAGACTTAAATCTTCGGGGAGATCAATGTACATCTTCAGAGCCCTAATGCGGAAAAAGCTTTGCGTTTTAGACAGCCTGCAGTAAGGTATGTGGAGCTGGTCTCTGTTACGAAGGTTGTGGGAGTGGTGGTATTTGCAATACCATGCACGGTAAAGCAATGCGATCTAGGACTGATATTCTCTCTGATATTCTAGGACTTAACTTATCTTAACTCAATCAATTGCACACATACAACGCTACATTGTATGCATAGTTTCTAACCTCAATTCACGATCGTGATCTGTAAAATTTTTCAGGCTCAAGCCTTTTAGTGGAAAATCAACTTCATTCGTTAGTTTCTGAAATTCCTCTCCAACTAATCCAAACCTGCCAACAATAAAAAGTGGTTAGAATTAGGGATGGACGAGACTGGATTTTAAGTTCGAGACGAGATTCATTGTTCTCATCATAATTCAGATGGTTTTATATAATATACGGTACATTGCAAAATTGACGGTCAAATAAATAATCCAAATGTTAATATTGCGTACTGGCTTAGGCTTAGTGATAAAAATCAGCTGTAAATGACTTCTTATGATATTCTCATGGAAAAGATTTTCTGTTCACTATTTTTCCCGCCGTCACGGGATATATGCCTTTAATTTGAGCCCTCTCCCGTCGTTCTACGACTTACAATTTTGACAAAAAGAATCACCTTTACGTAATCTATATAAATAAAAATATGTACATCCATTGAATGAAAAATGTTATACTAATAAGTACTTAAAATGAGGACGGATTAGCAAATAAATACTTTAATATGGTCTAAACTATGAACCCACTGAACGTTTATATATGCCTATTTTGATAGAGTGTGTAAAGTCAATCACAGCTTTAGGAGGAATACCACCACATAAGTTTACACAAAGAGTAGATTCTATTTTGATCAGAAACGAAACTAGGGTTTAGTTTGGTCAGCCTTTACACTAATTTAGTTGCGCCTTTACAAAAGGAGTAGAGCTAACTTATAAGATTATGAATAATAACTGGACCAGGGTACTAATATGAGTACATATAATATTGTAGCACTGTGTCAACTGCGACACATAGATAATTTTATTCTGAGTTTGTTTAAATATTACAATATTTTTTTTTACATTTGAGCTTTTTAGCGACTTATGTCCCTACAAGCCACTAGTTGTATTTTATTTATGTAAAAATCCAAATTATGACATAATACCCATTTATAGAATTGCAGTGATTTTTTACAGGCTTGTCATTTAATATTTTACTATATCCTATTGGATTAACCACAGTTAATAACTACAAAGCTAATGTCAATTACCTATGCAGTTGCACGATTAGTATCCGTGGAAGTTTCTCTATTTCTGTCTTCTTGGTTGCCCCCACATTTTTACATTGGGGGCAGACCCGTTCTTCTAGTTCCTCTTCTTTCAAAAATAGAGAGAAACATCAAAGGTCACATTAAGACGAAAAAGTAAGAAATACAAGTTTTTGTCACTTGACGTTAACTTGTCAACAACAAAGCAGGTGGAAATTTTTTTTACCTTTAGTTTGACCGTTTTGTCGTCATTAGTTCCATTGTTGAGGTTCTCTCTAGGCGGCTAAGTTGATGTGGTGGGTAGAACGCAGTGTTTGTACTAGACAAGAGGATTTTATA